CAGAGTGCAATAACACAGACATGGAACAAAAACTTTTTTTAACATATATTTAATTATTTTACAAAAAAAAAAAACAGGCTGGTATATTATAAACAATTGATATTAATTTATTTTAGTATGAAAACGTACTATTTTTCACAATATATATAACGGCACTCAACAAATGTTCATATCGACTGAATCATTGTTATAAATTGCATGGCAAACCAAAACACATTTTACAGAGACATCAAATATGTTTTTACCGCTAATATTTTTGCTAGTAGGTATTTATTTATTTTTTTAAGAAAAACTCGGAATGAATAACAAAACGATTTAGATGCAAAGTTTGACTGAGGTGACCTATATTTTAATAACGTGTTGTTTGTACTTTTCACCGTAATGTTAATACCCAAGCATTTGGAAAGGCGTTCATAGTTTTTAATATTATTATTTAAATGTAAAAAAAATACTTGATTAAGTATGGTAGATTGTGCTATTTTAGCGGTCACTGCGGCAGTGTGGATACTGGACTTCACTTTGGTACTTTCTTGCTGTGCTGGTTTATACTTTGAATGTATTTGGTTTAAACTACATTAAAAATAATCAATAATCAGGTAGTGTTAACAGTCAGATTAATGATATGTTTATTTGTTGACGGGATACTTTTGTTTTTGTTACTTTTAAAAAAGAAAACTTTATCGAGTTGGTGAAAAAACGTGGTTGCGACCTGTTTCTCAAGGCTTTATCGTGTTTCTACAAAGACAACTATAAAAATATAGGGTAATTGTCAGTATTTCGAATTTAGTTTTATAAATGTATAAAAAAAACCAGTACAGCGGGGTCGGGGCATAGTAGAGACGGGGAGGTCACAGGTTTACAGGTACTTTGATAAATTAAAGTGATAAAATTGAATAAAACCACTTTGAAATAAACGCTTTAATGCTTATTTGTAAATACAGCACCTCAATTTAATACTTTCTAACTTTGCCCCGAACCCACTGTACTGGTATTTTGTAACATAACAATATTAGCTCACGTTTGTCTGTAATAATACGTTTTATTTCTCCAAAACCACATTTGACGATTTTGGTAGGCTGATAAAAACTCAAAATTACTTTCGGATAACCCCTAACCCACCAAACCTCCGCCGCAACATTTAACATCATGATACTGCTCCTATACTACTATTAAAAAAACATAATTTTTAAAATCTCCATAAAAGGTTATTGTTAAATAACAGGCAACAGCCGACCGCTAGTGGCTATGCACGTTAGTAATATTTAACTAATAAGTAAAATATGTAGGTAAAATTTATTGTTTTCTCTATCACAGTACCAGTATACGATTTATTTTAATTTAAATGTAAGAAAATCAATTTTTTTTTAGAAAATAACAAGAAATTAATATACAGAGTGTGCAGTAAAACGGCGATTTTCTAATATATTTAAATGGGAAAACCCGTTTCACTATCCCACCCTTTACATTTAAAGAATCTATGAAAAGGTGTTTTTAGTTGCATTTTATTTTGTACATTGTCAATCTAGTAAAATAGAAGTATAATATAGCTTTGAAATAATATAATCTATGAAGTATAAATAGTTTGTGTGAGTTTGCTTTAATGGAAGTATATAATATATAAATATAAATTTTATTGAGAATAAGCGATTATAATTTAAACTATGGAGTACAAACGATTGAAATATGAATCGTCGACCATTCCAACAAAATATAATAAGACATTGTTATTTGGTCCACTACGTTTTTGCAAAAAAAAAAAAACCAGTACAGTAGGGTCGGGGCATAGTGGGGTCTGAACATAGTTGGGTCGGGGCATAGTGGGGACGGGGAGGTCACAGATTTACAGGAATTTTTAAATCCTTTTCACTTTTTATCACTTTCGAAAAAATCTATGTTGCCTCTTTACATAAAACTAACCATTTATAAACTCTTACTTAAGCCACTATAGACATATGGAGTCCAAATCTGAGGTTCAGCTAAAAATTCAAACCTTAACAAAATACAAGTCTGATTTACACTCTGATTTACAAATAAAAACAATAACACAAGTTGCCAAAGACTACTACAGACGTTACCACAATTCTCTTCAAAATCACCCAAACCCCTTTGTGAATAATCTCACATTACCCTCAATGCCCAACAACCCACCAAAAAGACTTAAAAGAAAGTGGTGCAGAGACCTTCTCACTATCAATTAATTAAAAACGAAGTTAATAAGAGTGTCATCAGTGGACGGTTTCTCTTTTCATGCTTTCAATGACTATAATTTACCTGTGTCATCATATATACTTAGTGTACTAAAATTGCATAGATCGCAAAATAAAGAAGAAAAAAATATATAATAATAAGATTTAAGAACATTTTGAGGTAAAATATATTATTGTAATATTATATTATTACTTTTATGCAAGCCCCAATTTTATCAATTTTTACGTAGTCATTAGTTGAAAAATGTTTGTATTGATTATGACCTAAGCTGGTGCCATCCGTAAATACTATAATTGTCTATTTATTATCTCATTTCGGAGTTGATGCAGTACGTTTACAGAAATTGTTACCGCTTGATTCGGTGTCCGTTTCCTTTCTAAAATATTGAAATCCCAGTTTTAAGATATTTTTTAGTTTTCTAGCAGATTTTTGACAATTTGTTTAAACGTGTTGTCAATGTGTGTTATTAAACATACGACCGCATCATAGTAAGTAATAATTGTCAAATGCATGTGACTTCTCTAATATTATTCTTAATGTCTCACAGACGTTCCACATCATTGAAATGCCCACACATTCGATTACGTTTTAAGCCAAATAAATCGGTTTCTTGCAAAGTTTTAATGGTTTTCAATGTAATCGTCGTTTGACAACGGTCAAGACAGCATAGTGCAATAACACAGACTTGGAACAAAAACTTTTTTTAACATATATTTAATTATTTTACAAAAAAAAAAAACAGGCTGGTATATTATAAACATTGATATTAATTTATTTTAGTATAAACGTACTATTTTCACAAATATAACTGCACTCAACAAATGTTCATATCGACTGAATCATTGTTATAAATTGCATGGCAAACCAAAACACATTTTACAGAGACATCAAATATGTTTTTAACGCTAATATTTTTGCTAGTAGGTATTTATTTATTTTTTTAAGAAAAACTCGGAATGAATAACAAAACGATTTAGATGCAAAGTTTGACTGAGGTGACCTATATTTTAATAACGTGTTGTTTGTACTTTTCACCGTAATGTTAATACCCAAGCATTTGGAAAGGCGTTCATAGTTTTTAATATTATTATTTAAATGTAAAAAAAAATACTTGATTAAGTATGGTAGATTGTGCTATTTTAGCGGTCACTGCGGCAGTGTGGATACTGGACTTCACTTTGGTACTTTCTTGCTGTGCTGGTTTATACTTTGAATGTATTTGGTTTAAACTACATTAAAAATAATCAATAATCAGGTAGTGTTAACAGTCAGATTAATGATATGTTTATTTGTTGACGGGATACTTTTGTTTTTGTTACTTTTAAAAAAGAAAACTTTATCGAGTTGGTGAAAAAACGTGGTTGCGACCTGTTTCTCTAGGCTTTATCGTGTTTCTACAAAGACAACTATAAAAATATAGGGTAATTGTCAGTATTTCGAATTTAGTTTTATAAATGTATAAAAAAAACCAGTACAGCGGGGTCGGGGCATAGTAGAGACGGGGAGGTCACAGGTTTACAGGTACTTTGATAAATTAAAGTGATAAAATTGAATAAAAACCACTTTGAAATAAACGCTTTAATGCTTATTTGTAAATACAGCACCTCAATTTAATACTTTCTAACTTTGCCCCGAACCCACTGTACTGGTATTTTGTAACATAACAATATTAGCTCACGTTTGTCTGTAATAATACGTTTTATTTCTCCAAAACCACATTTGACGATTTTGGTAGGCTGATAAAAACTCAATAATTTCGGATTACCTCATTCTATTAGTGACAAAATTCGGCAAGTAACATTTTTCTGGATTTTTGTGTAAAAAACTTCAAAGGTGGTCAAATAATATGTTTTTGGGGTCGGTGATTACGAATTTAATATCAGTTCTAAATTTTAATCAGCCAGAAAGAAATAAAGTAAAAAAAAAAAATTGAATTTGTGTAAACTTAAAGTCAAAAGTGGTACTTGAGCACAAATCTAGTATCATTCTGCATAGATATACATAAAATTGTTTTAATGATTTGATACATTTTTTTTAAAGGTGTTTTTGTTAAAATATACGCAATCTGCGAAAACACAGTTTTCCGGCAATTAAAAAAAAACTGTAGTGCCGAATTTGCTTTCCGTTTAATATGTTATGAATACTTATGAGTTCTAACTACTGACAAACTTTCAACTTACATGACAAACCCGACTTATTGACGATTTTCTAGAATAATAATAAAAAAAACGACCTATGTCGATCAATTTTATTTTTTTTCGTAATGCAATGTTATTTTAAGGTCATTGTAATTCTTCCACATTCGGTAAGAGTATTTAGGGAAGGGGTGATTTTGGAATCTCTTATAATAACCTCTATAATAAATATAATAGATGTGCATAAGTTGTTATTTTTTGTTTTTGAGTAAAATAGAGTTTGATTGAACTTTGAAGTTTATAATATCATTTCAAAGGGCCGTAGCCTTTAATTTAAAATAGTAAGGTGACGTGAAGTAATAAGTAATGGGTTTAGAATAATTAGGTCGCGGACCGAAGATGGCAGTAAGTCAACTGACTGGGCATCGGTGCCCCTGGCATTGTCCCGTGTGTCTGTTGTCTCCCCTACCTATAATGGCTTACATGCTAATCGGGGTAAACTGCTAATAATACATGTTTTTGGAGGCGAGTGGTAACGGGTGGCTAAATGTGAGGGTTACTAATGTATCTTATATTCGTCTTCCAGCCTCCAAATACCATAAACGTATTCATGAAGAACTACCTTTATCTTAAGGGAAAAAATAACCCTCTTTGAATAGCAAGTGGTAAATTGTTTTAAAGGCGTCTATAGCATGACCGATGGAGAAGAAAAAAACACGTACTTATCAATAATCATGGTAAATTTAATTTAGTGTCGTATTTACAGGAGTTGATCAGGGTTATATACCATTAACCAAAGTCATATTTTTTTATAAAACGATTTAATAATCTATTTTTTTAACAGAAAACACTTCTTGTATTCAAAGAAGCTTCGGATAGAATTTTTTTTTCTCGATAAATTTTTTTCTAGAAAAAAAAATCATTTTTCACCTTTTTTGGCCCCCGTGTTTTTGACTTTCTAAAAACCGATAGTCCCGTTTTAAATACGACAATAGTGTTACATGAATTTAAAACACAATAACAAACGAGAATATTTTTTTTATTTTACAGGTACCTTGTCTATAAATTTCGGAAATGTACGATCAAATTCATCGAGGCCTCGCACAAAAATTGCACACCAGTTGTATACATAATTCTTTCTATGAAAAACACCATCGCGTATGCTAAAAAATTGTGCGCTATTTTATCAAAATATTATACTCCCGTTAGCTTTCAATACCTACGGACGTTGTGTTTTGTATAGTGTTCATAAATCACATTAACACGTATAACATGATGGTGTTTATGTTTTATTTTATTGTACTCATTGTTTTAAGGTCAACTCCGGGTACGTAATATATTTTATTTGCATCTTCGTAAATAATTGCCTTCTTATAATTGAAGCATATAATCTTAAGCGACATATTCTGAACCCAATTATGGTAATTATCGCAATCTGCTGTATTTGCTATTTTCTCACTAAAAGATGGCCTATTAAGATTTACTCATCCTTTCACAGATTCACGATTTCACAATTATTATTAAACCGTACTGCAAATACGCAATTAATTTATTGTTATTTTTTCATTTGAAAAACCAAAAAAAATATTTAAAATTAAATGAAAAATTGTTCAATTATTTTACAATCGTAAACATTTACTGCACTAGTGCAATACAATTATTATTATTATTTCATTAAAATTATCAACATTTACCATTTAAAAAAATTGATGTTAAATCAAACCGCTGGACGTTAATTCTTACTGTAAATAAATAATACAAATTCATTTGTAAAATTAATTTTATATTTTAGCATACTCTGGTCCTACCGAGAATCCATCGTCTTCGCCAAATCCGGCCGGTGACGAGCAAATTGATCACACTCATTTCTTGACCGACGAATGTCGTCGTTTCGATCGCAATACGTTTTTAAAAGAAGAGTATGTATTATGAAATTTTATAAGATTCCATTAGATGTAAAGGACGGGTGATTTTTAATTTTAAAGAATATTAAATTTTATTTAGTATTAACCCGTGTACAGGGAATAACCTGTACAATATATGTATAATAACAGTGTGTTGCCTACTATAACATGCCCTTAAAAAAAAAATTGAACTAGGAAATAAAAATAATTCTTATAAACAAAACATTCTAATTATAAAATATAAAATTATCACATTTAAAAAAATAAAGCAATAAAATTTAAAAAGTTTCTCAGCCGAGTCTGCAACCACGAAAGAGCATTTCCATGTCTAGTTGAAGTATTGAATAAATTTAGAGTATATTAACAAGCTATTATCTAAGGTGGCTAGTAAACATATCAAGTTTCTGGCTAATATTTTAGTGTTTTCATAATATCTGGCCCAAAACAATTCATAGGAAATTAACCTGTTAATTTACATTGAATTTTGTCAGTTATAATTTGATCGTTGTAAATACAACATATCTCTCATCCCAATCTATTACCCCTATCTCCCACCCCTATCACTCATCCCTATCTCCAACTCATTTTTCTCACCCCTATCTCTATCCCCTATCTTCCACCCTTTTCTCTATCCCCCTATCACCGACCCCTAACTTCTACCCCTATCTTCCACCCCAACCCCATCCCATCATCGTTCCCACCCACTACCCCATCTCCGTGTGGTAACACTTTTTTGATAACACTAAGTAAATAACACTTTTTTCGGTATGTGCCAGAGTTAAGACATGAAAATGTCAAAAACTATTAGGGACAAAACAAGATAAAAATAAATAATACAGACATACAAATGATGAACAATTAACATAAATATATCTTAAGTTTTACTATTTCCTACCATATCTGTTTACTGCATCATGCTGTTTAGGAACTATGGGAGAATTTGAATAATTAGTTTTCTTACTGCAATTTATTCTTATCTAAAGTCTTCATTATATTTCAATGTAAATGATACTATGTTTTCTATATTTTCTCCTATACCATTTTCAGTTTAAAGCTTTATATCATAAAACCTTCTACAACATGCACTTTTTAAAAATCATTAGACGTTTCTTTTTAAATTTTGGTTAACTATCTTTAATTTATACCTCGTGATCAATGTGTATATAACATTATATAGAAAGGCTGCTTACGGCTTCAACAATATCACTAAACTTATTTAAAATGTTTTTATCAGTATCGTTAACACAATCAATTATTCTAATTTTCTTGAATTATTACATGTTAGTAGACCTAAAATTGTAGTGCAGTCAAAATCCACTATAGAAAAAACATAATCTTATAACAACATTTAAGTTTACAAGTATCAATAGAAGGAATAATTACTTTAGCATGTATAGACATAAATTTCGTCACTAATTGTTTATTAATGACAGATTCATTTTTTTTTTTTGAAAAAATGTTTTTTGATGGTATGTGTTAAGGCGGAGGGTTCAAAAATAATATGACCTTATCCGGCCTTCAAGATTAAAATATTAAAGCGTTTGACGCTGAATCCAAAAACTGGTTCTACTATTAAATATTAAATATGGACTGTATAGGTAATTTTGCTCATTAAAATAAAAAATAAAAACATTTGTTGTATGTAATTCTATAAAATTACTTCTCTATTGAATATAATAACTTATTTAATAATCTTACTTTCTGGCCAGAATACTAAGGAATATTGAAATACTTAAGACTAACATATAATAATAGGTGATAACAATACCGACAATAATTTGATTTCCACTGTTGTAACTGCCACTATGACGGCCCGAAATTCTTGTGTGAAAGAAGACGGTCCCCGTTATGGCGCGCAGAACATGAGCTCAACTGGATATGAAACTTTCGGCGCGGCTCCTATGACTGCGACCGGTAATACGACGACAAACTATTTTATCTTTTTAGATAAAATTTTACAATTAAATTAATTAAAGCAGAAAAACAAAACAAAACGGCTCGACGGCCGAACACAGCATAAAAAACGCCTCTGGCACGTCGCGACGCGCGTAATTTGATTTGAATCCTATCTGCTGCACGAACAAACAATATCATTAAACTTATTAAAAAATTTTTTTTTAGTATCGTTAACAAAATGAATTCAATTTTAATGCCATTCAATTTATAACATTATATCCTTAAAGCAGGATATTTTATTTATGTTTTAGTAAAAGCGTGTAAGATTATTATTATTATTAATAATTTTATTGAAGTATCAGCTTAAAACTATTTATTTCTACAATTAATAAGATCTTGCTATGTACGAATATGAATATAAACCTCAACATCAATGATTATACTTAATTAGCTATCTCTGAAACACTCCCTTAAAATATATGAATAAAAAAGCATATAATTTATCAAAATATAGTATTAAATATATAAAAAACACAAGCAGTTTATAACTAAACTAATTTTTGGAATTTCTCTGTATTATTTTTAAAGATTTAATATTATACATAATATATTATTCATTTGTAGTATTTATAAGTATATTACTAATATATTTTAATATTTATTTTAGGTTTTCGGATGTTGTTTTAGTTGTAGGTAATGAACGATTCCCCGCCCATCGTGCTGTGTTAGCCTCACGCAGTGATTATTTCAGGTAATAATATCTTTAAGCATATTATTCTCTTTTTTGATTGATTGGTAAATTGTACTAATGGTAACATTTTTTTTTACTTTTTTACTATTTTTTAGAAAAGAATATTTTTTGATTTTTACGGTTAGGTTAGGCTCACTAATTTCCTAATTAACCACCTAAATTTTTTTGAAAAAACAGAAACATCGATTGCCTTAACATTTTTTACTGTTTTGTAATCTATAATTGTTAGTTTACTTGCTTGATATAAATTGATACTATGAACCATTACCACTTATACATATTTATGACAATAATAATATAGTTTTGTAAAACAAGTAAACAAGTGATTTAGTAATTATACAAACTGATTGTATGACTTATTACATAGCTGTTCATTATAATCTAACATGCTCAAACTAAACGAAAGTAAATTGAGTAGCCCGTACAATGTGCCTTACTGGTTGTAGCACATACAATGCATTTTTTTATGCTAATATTGGATACCTTTTTTAGTGTATTACTTTGTAACGGTTATACAGAAACTTATAAAAAGGAGGTGCCAATAAACGAAGGATCACCAACATCAATTAAAGAACTTCTTAAATATATTTATTTCGGTAAAATGAATTTAAGTGTTCTAGAGGTAACTTGTAATGTATATATTTAGAATATAAATATATTTTATAGAAAAGGATTTGTCGAGTATATATATATTATGTATTTTGTATGTATTAGAATAACGTCATTTTGGAGTTATTATTTCTCTCGAATGTATGGCGTTTTACAAACTTACAATTTTCACTGTCCGAGTACTTATGTAATAACATTAATATACACAATGTATGTTCGTTTTTGGTTGTGGCACTTTACTATTAACACAAAGAACTCGAAGTCGCATCAATCAATTTTATTGACATAAACGCTTTGGACGTATTGCAATCTGAAGATTCTCAATCTTTGACGCCCGTAATTATATTTTATAGTAAAAAATAAGTATTGCTCTTGTTAGCTAACTAGTTGTGACAGTAATATTATTTTTAGGAAGCATTAATTCTAATTCTCAATCGTGACACGGCGTATGCTCATGAATTGGATATATTCCGTGCGGTTAGTCAGTGGATCAAAAAGAACCAAGAAAAACTGGGTCCTAACGATAAAACCAACATTTTATCGGCCATCAGATATCAGCTTATGGATAAAAAAGAACTGTCTGAAGTTTGGGGATCTGAGCTGGTTCGTTCGTATAAAATTATTTTAGATGTCATAAAGAAGTCCCTCACACAAACATTAAATTATCGAGGACGATTAGGTATGCTCAATGTAAATATAATATGTTAGGCAAAATATTTTAGTATCAACTACTTTATTCTTTAGAACCAAATGTGAATTTCGCTCAAAAAGATTCGATAGAGCTTTCTCAAATTGACGGCGGTACCATGATCATGTTGGATCATCCGTCGAGTATAAACTACATCGAAATGGAAATATGTTGTTGGTGCGTTTTTATTTATTAATATTCTAATCAAAGATTTAGTATAATATCATTTGAATACCAACAAGATTAAAATTTATTTTTTTCATGATTTATATTAATAAATGTTAATTTAATTTATAAATGAATAAAAAAAATTTTAAATGCATCAAACAATCAGTTATGACTTATAATTGTTTTTTTAATCTATTTTGCACAACAATTATTTAAATTTATTATTTGATTTTTGACATCTTTATTGATAAAAAAATTACTCATGTTTTCATTTGATCGAATTCTTGTTATTTCAGCACTCCCTCCTATTACATTGAAGTATCAATAGATAAGTACAGTTGGTTTCGTGTGGTTGATCATTCAAATTACGATTGTCGGTCAATTCAACGTTTGTGGATTAACCGAATATATGTTAGATACATCCGTATTGTTGAAACCAAAAATACTAGTAAAAAAATTAAATTTTTAAAAGTCATGTACAATACGGACAAATTGCACTTGGTGGAAATCAAAAACGGATTAGTTGGTAAGGACAACACGAAAATAACTCGTTCTTTGAATAATATAAAAAAAAACTTATCTATCTAATTAACTGATTTCAATCTATTAGCTCCAAAGTACAATGTTGCTTTATCATCTATGGATGCGATTGTAATCAATGGAATTCCAAATACGTTTATCAGACATATGGCGAAATATACGCCCAGTACGATGCAAGACAGCATTTTGAATGATGACTATAAACACTACTATAAGTATCGTGGATATTTATATCATTACCTGAATAGAGGGTGTATAGAGGTTCAACTCGCCCAACCGTATTTGCTAAGTTCAATGAGGTAATCGTTTACAGAATATTTACTTTTTACTTTGGTATCTATTTTTTAATTATAATACTTTTTGTGCTTGAAATATATTTAAAAATAATTTTAGGTCAACTGTGGCAATAAGATTAAGATTATATTAGTATTGTCATTATTTATAGGATGCTGCTTTGGGACCACAATAACGATACCTACGATTACACTGTTCATGTTTCAGTCAATCATAAAGATTGGGACATCATTATAGATAAATCCAATAAATCGTGCCGATCGTGGCAGTTATTGCAATTTGAACAAAGGCTGGTAGTGTATATACGTATTACTGGCGTTCAGACTTCAAATGATGACAGAGTAAAATAATTGATTCAAGAATGTTTTCTAGACATTGTTAAAAAACTTCTTTTTTTTGTAGTCTTTTAATTTAGTATATTTGGAAGCACCCGCTCAAGTATCGCTAGCTAGCATCATCACAAAACCGTGGAAGTCGATGGTGTGGCTTTTAAATCGGAAATAGCGCCAACTATTCTCCCGAAGGCCAACTTCTATATGGACTAATGGGTTTTTTTTTACATATTATTGTTATAGGTTACTGTCAATTTTATTTCTTAATAAATATATATATATTAAATTTAATTATTACTATTATTAGTTACTTATGCACAAAAAAAATATATATATAAATAAAATAATAAACAAGATAGTTGGATGTCTAGTGTCGTTATCCATTTGACCACGTTATCAGTAGGTTCTTTGAATTTTTTAATGCATTATAAATATAAATAACATTTAATGTAATGTTCACATACAACTATATATAGTTTTTAGCTTCAATGCAGAGCGGCAAAGGTATTGGTTTTACGCTGATGTGTGATTATCTGTATACACTGTAACTTTTTTAATAATGAACCAATTCCTTCAAGTAGCAACTTTATAAATCACAAATTTCATCTAGTTAGTACTTTAGGGTGGGGGGGGGGTTGTAAAAGTTGAAACCGTTTACTTCTGTACAGTCGAAATTTGAAAAACAAAAAAAACCATACCAGTTTTTAAGTTAGAACTTTTACCGGCTATAATTTCGAAAAAAAAAGTCGGATCGACTTGAAATTTACAAGAAATATTTATTTGGTATGCTTGTACACGTCAGTTGTATCAAATTTAAATGAGACCCATTTCCCACCTCCTTAGTTAGGGTTCAAGTTTTTATAGTTTTTTAGTCCTAATTTTAGGACCTATAAAATGAGAATTTGTTAGTAGTTAGAACTCATATTTATTCATAACATATTAAACGGAAAACAAATTCAGCAATACTTTTTTTTTTTAATTGCCGGAAAACTGTGTTTTCGCAGATTGCGTATATTATAACAAAAACACCTGAAATCTTAAAAAAAATATTCATCAAATCATTAAAACAATTTTATATATATCTATGCAGAATGATACTATTAAGTTTTGTGCTTAAATACCACTTTTGACTTTTAGCTTACACAAATTTAACTTTTGTTTTTTTTGGCTGAGTGAAATTGAAAATTAATAATAAATTCGTAATCACCGACCCCAAAAACATATAATTTGACCATTTTTGAAGCATTCTACATAAAAACCCAGAAAAATGTTTTAGCTTCGATGCAGAGCGGCTTTACTGTGATGTGGGCTTTTTTTTATCTGTATACACTATAACTTTTTTAATACTGGACCAATTACAAACATAGTTAAAATAGTTAAAATGAATAGTTAAACGACCTATTTTGAAATCAATTAATTAAACTATAACAATTATCATTACCTACCAAGATAATCACAAATTTTTTAGCGTTACGTTGTTTTTTAAGTATTGAGTTGAAAATTCATTATTAATTATACTTATTCATTCACAAACATTTTTCTTTTTCTTCAATAATTTTTTTAAAATTATTTATTAATTATGTTATTCATCAAAATAATCTGCCTACAACTGTATGCGTTATAATTACTATCTTAGTTTAATGTATCAGTTTGAGTTTACCCGTGTTGAACAATTTGTATAGTTGAAAATAATTATTTGTTAGTTAAGTTAAAAAAAATTTCTCATTAATTGCTTTAATTTTGACAAAATTTTAATATTTTCTCGATTGTTTTGAGAGGTAATATTTAATTTAGTTCAACATGAATTGATCTTACCCGATATTATGATTTAATCATTAATGGCATATTTGGTCATGCAGTTTTGAATAAGTTAGATATTGTCTATTAAACAGTTTAAGGCAGTGTTTAAGTTGTTTTAAAATTATAAAATGTAATTTGAGTAAAGAGGTACTTAGTAATCGACATGGAAATCTCAAACAAGAGTTCTGTAAAAAAAAACAACTATTTTGTAAAATTGTTGTACTGTTGATTTTGTTTAATGAAATCATGTCTTATGAGTTATTATGTTTGTATAAATATTGTTATTGTATTACATAGCATACAATAGTTTATAAATACTTGGTTAATATTTATAAGACTTCTATAACCTATGAAAATGTTCTTATTTTCACTATGTACACATTATAAAAAAACTAATTATCTACCGAAACATAAGGTGTTGAATTTTATGCATATCTACCAGGAATTTTATATTTGTCATTAGACTGTTCCATTTTAATAACCTTTGTTTTCTTTTAATTACCCACTATGCATTATGCATTGTAGATGCTTGTGTGTTATGTGACTACCATATGAGTGATGGGTTGTTATATTTGTCAGTGTTATTAAACAACATTTTACAAATATTTTTTTTTTTTATTTAGGCTTCTACAGTTTGTTTTTTTTTATGTTAATTTTTTACCTGACTGACGTGCATGCATACAAAACTGATACAAGTGAACGTGTCAAATACTAATTATTTATTATGTTTTATGCAGTTTTCTACTAAAAACATTTAAATAAAAACAAAGATGTTTATAATTTGTAACTGCTGAAATATAAACATATCGAGTTACGATTAACAGTTATGTAAGATGTATGTGAACAATTAACTTGCGCACGATGTTGTACAATGGGGGTATATACAAGACAAAGGATATAGCCAAATTTTAATAAATAAAGAGGAGCTCAAAGAAGCTATCATTAACGTTTGCTTAGAAATGAATGGTTGTGTAATAGAAAAAGCCACAAATAACGATAATTCTGAAAAAATTAATTTGTGTTTACAGAATGGGCATCATTTTCAACATCGTTTGTAATAAATGTAAATAATGTACTTTTAAAAACAAATAATATAATAATTTAATGCTTCTAAAATTGTTTATTTTTATTTACCTAAGTGGCATACCTACTATAGTGAGTTGCTTACGCCTTATAGTTTACAATATTTTTATTATTTTAAATCTACAGTAAAAAGTCATATTCTGCATACTTTATATTTATTTGTACAGACTATAGAACTAAATAAATCAGTTTAGCATTAGAACCTGAATAAAATATTTCAAAAAGTTTAGCCAAGTCATAGATAACAATTAAAATGCATAAAATATGTCTTATTTTACCGGGTAATTATATGATTCTTCTTCTTCAGGTGCCTATCCGATTCTAAATGTTGGTGACTATCATAGCAATTCCCACTATGTTGGCCGCAACGTGGAACAACTTATCACATGATCTGCCAGGTCCTCTTTTCAAATATTTTTCCTTGCAGAATGGATTAAGTATAGAATATCTCCTTTCATTTCTTATGATGTGTCCCAAGTATTATAATAATGGTGTTAATGAACTCAGTGTCTTAGTTTATTCTTCTGAGAAATTAGATGTTTGTAAACCGACAAGTCCAAGGTATTTTCAGTGTTATTTTTTATAATCACATCTCAAATTCTTTCAATTTATTTATGATGTCATCGTTCAGAATCACTACTCCATACAGCAGCACAGAGAACAAATAGAATATTGTAAGTGTCATATTTGTTTCAAGAGAGAGATTGTGACTTGATGGTTACGATCATTTTTGTTAAATGTTGGTCTCACTTGTCCAATGCGATACTTTATTTTTATATGATTAGATAATATTAATTTAATAATCCGTATTTCAAGACTTATTAACGTTAACCACAAAGTTATTTATTAAATAAAAACAATTAAAAAAAAAAAATAGAATAATAACATAAGTACTATGCAACTATAAAGTATAATCTATGAAATGCATAATTATTAATTATTGACAATCGACAATCTACAGACTACATTATCTTTATCAATTTAGTGTGTTTTGTATCATAATATTAAACACAATAATAATAATATGTATAAAATACTCAACCGCAAATAACCACAACGCTTCTATATTATAATATACTATCTTCTGTATTATCTAATAATGATCAATGATAAGTATGAAATGGTCAACCGAAAATAATTAGGTAGGTATATAATTTCATTATTATTGGGGCGACATGCATCCGCCACGTCATTATCTATAATAACTTTGTTATATGGGATCAATGACTAGAGGAATTTATGACGGAATGTCCAGTGGATGAAAAATTGATTCTATAAATTTTCCCACAGCGATTATGATATCTCACAAAAGCACCTACATAAAAGTGTGTAAGAGCAGCATTGACGCGTGCTCTCCATTCCCCCCTGCCTATAAATTCAAATGATTGTAGCTTTGTAACTACACATCCAAAATAAAAAATTTAAGTGCACATATTTAAATACACTATAGCACTTGATAATTTTAACAAAAAAAAATTATGTTGCTATTTGAAAATCAAAAGTTGCTATCCAAATAACTAATTTACGAGGGGGATAATATCATACAAATTTGTTGAAAATTGAGATCACATTATATAAAAACTGTGTAAAAAAAAATCAATTGTTAGATAAACCCAACGAAATATTAACTGGCCAATGATAAAAAGATCACCCTGTATAAAGGTTCAACTTGCCCAACCGTATGTGCTCAGTTCAATGAGGTAATCGCTTCCATAACATTTAACTTAATTACTATGGTTTCTATTATTTAATTATTATATATTTGTGTCTGAAATATAACTTTTAATTATTAAAATTATTATTTTATCTGAACTCTGGCAATTAGACTAAGCTTATATAAGTATTGTTATTATTTAAAGGATGCTTATTTGGAACTGCGAAAGCCGTACTCATACGGTTATACTGTTGAAGTTTCATCGATATCAGGGCTTTTCAGTCGTAATAAGTAGCTCAATCTTTCGCACGAACGCTCACTTTTATGTGGATCTAATAGAGTTTTTTTACATTTTATTATTACAGATTACTGTCATTGTTGTTGTTTAATTAATATAAATATATTTATAATTCAATTTAATGTATACACATGACTATAAATTATATATTGTTTTCAAACATAATCATATTGGTTTATGTATTTCTGTAATTATTTTTTCAAACTCATATATTATGACGTTGTGTGTTGGCTGATATGTTCTGTCAGCAGACATTTAGATCGATTTTCGATTGAATATTATAACTGGCTTTAATGTCTGAGCTGAATGTCATGGAAACCATAAGACATATTCATCATCCAATGTCATTCCTTCAAGGAAGATACTAATCTTTTTGTTGAAGAGCAAGTGAAAAATTATTTTAATGGTCCCTATAAAAATACCGACGACGAAGAAGAAAACCCATACATATTAATAATCATTAAACATTTAATTCAGTGTATTCTGATCAATCGACATTCATTTCATTAACACTCCGAAAACCGAAATACTAACTAAATATGTTTTTGACTTTTATGTGTCTTATATTTGTCTTCCAGCCTCCTCGTACGATAAAACATATTCATGATCCAATGTCTTTCCTTTAGGGGAAAAACTAACCCTTCTTTGAAGGGCAAGTGGTGAATTGCCTTAAAGGTGCCAATAGAATGACCAATGATGAAAATGAAAAGACATATATAAAAATAATCATTATACATTAAATTTAGATTTTATTTACAGGGGGTGACATCAGGCTCAAATATCATCAACCAGAAACATAATTTTTATAAACAAACCTAATAGTCTATTTGTTAAAAACTCTTCTAAGAAAAAATGGATGAAAAATCATCAAAAAAAACAATTCCGTACACGTTTTTTGGCCTCCGTGTCGTCGAATTTCTAAAAACCGATATTCCCGCTTAATATCAGACAATAGGGTTACAGGAATAAAAAATATTTTGCTTATAAACTTTGCTACTGCATGATCCAATTCAACGAGGCGTCGCACAAAAACCGCACACCAGTTGAGTACACAATTTTTTCGTTTAAAAACACTATAATGTGTGCTAAAACATTGTGCGCTATTTTCTTAAAATAATTTATTTCAGTTGATTTTCAATACCTTTGGAAGGTGTATTTTTTTATAAGTGTTTCATATAGTATTAATAAATCTTATTAACACGTAAACAAGATGGTGTTTATTTATTTTATTGTGCTCATCGTTTTAAGGTCAACACCAGGTACGTAATATATAAATCATACATGTCTACATTGATAATTATCTTATAATACAAGCAAATAGTCTTAAGCGATAAGTTCTGTATACAATTATGGAAACTATAGTATTCTGCGGAATTTTCTATTTGCTCAATAAAAGATGACCTAGTAAGGTTTACTTATCCTTTCACAAACCTCCTTTCTGACTAGTAATAATGTCAAGATAAGCTTTAAAAAGCTGTAGGGGAGGCTTATTTAATATTTTTAACAAGTTTAACGGTTAATTAAACTTTAAGTTAGCTAAGGTTAGTTCGCAGTCTCTGTCCTTAATTTTATGTTAGTAGCTAAAATTGGTAAATGATTTTACAATCATTATTAAACCTTACTGCATATACGCAATTTAATTATTGTTATTTTTTCTTATGAAAAACCAAAAAACAACATTTAAAAAAAAATGGAAAATTTTTCAATTATCTCACAATATTGTAAAACTATACTGCACTCGCGCATTAAAGCTATCATTATTATTTTTTTTAAAAAGTAACACACACAATTTTTAAAAACAAATATCGCAAATAAACTTTACAAATTCGTTTGCTAAATCAGTTTTATTTTTTAGCAATCTCTGATCCTACCGAGGATCCATCGTCGTCGGTCAATCCTCTCGGTTACGAGCATATCGATCACGCTCACTTCATGGTCAACGACATTAGCAAGTTATATCTAAATGAAAAGTATTGTATTTATAACTTCTAAATTGTATTATTGTTTGTTAGGTACAAATTATGAACATTACCGTCAACATCACTCAATATACTTAAACAGCTATCGCTGAATCTATACCACATATAAAACACATCTTTATTTTAATAACTAAATAAATCGGGCTGCCTAATATTCATAGGTTGTCAGAAACGACACAGCATACGGTCAATAGACTGCATAGTTATTAGGATTTTTATACAATATTAAAAATAATTATACGGATATTCATACATAGTTTTATAAACAATAAATAAATTAAAATACAAATTATTACTATAAGCTACCAAGTGTGGTCAAACCAATTTGTTTTCCTCATACGTCCGTAGAGACCCGGAAACCCGCCTGATGAGGCATTACTTCACCCCTGGTTTTTGACGCCGTTTTTCATAACGCAATAAATAAATACAACATTTGGCTGAAACTATGTATTTTGCCTTAACATACCTTAACCTATCACACTTCATCCGGAACGAGGGCCAAATAACTGTATGCACATTAGGCCTCGGTGAATTTTTTTTACAAAAAGTCTTACGAATACTTATTGCTATGCTTACATATAAATACTATTATTATTTATACAATTGACAATGGTGGTGCGTTCTCGGGCCGGTGTCGCACGCACCCGATTCCTTGACCACCGCGACGTTCAGCCTTCTGGTAGCTGCCTGGCCCACTCTGCATTTTTTCTCCCTCAGGACTGTGAAATGTTTAATGTTGAATTCAGAAAGACGTATTTCTACACGAATATAGCTCATAAGTTATGTTTAACTGTCGCTCTGGACCAATGTGGTCAGGCTCCTTATAAACGGGTCTTACTAGATCATTAGACTTATTTTTATTATTACTATTATACATTAGTTCATTATTCATTTTTATTACACTAAGTGTATAAATAATTTGTTTTAACATGTATTTTAGGTTTTCCGATGTTGTTTTCGTTGTAAATAATGAAGAATTCCACGCACATCGTGTTTTATTAGCCTCACGCAGTGAATATTTTAGGTAACTCTTATCATTAAACATATTACTCCCTTAGTAATAATGATACCTTAAAAAGCATTACATTGTACAAATTCGTCGAAAATCGTCGTTAAACTTCTTTATTTATTTACTATTTTTTACGGTATCATCAATTTTCTAATCAACTATACTACATTTTTTTGAAATAATAACACAGCGACTTTGGGTGCCCAAAGATTTTTATTGATTTGTAAATGTTTTAAAATAAATGTATAATTAGTTAGATAACTTCCTTAATATAAATTGATTACATGAACCATTTAGTAGTTAAAATATGATTCTGTTAGATGAGACTAATACATTGTTAAGAGTTAAGACAATATTAATTAATTCGTGAAAAATAAGTGATAAAATATAAATTATAAATACTTGAATGACTTTTTATATTTCTGTTCAATATTATGATCTATCCTAATCATACGAATCGAGAGTAATATTGTATTTAATTATATAATAAAAATGCATTTTTTGTAGCTCACACAATGTGCCTTACTAGTTGTAGCACATAAATGCATCCTTTGTAATTATATTGTATACATTTTTCAGCTTATTACTGTATGGAGAGCATATAGAATCTCGAGAAATGAAGGTGCCAATAAAAGAAGGATCAGCAACTTCAGTTAAAGTTCTTCTTCAGTATATTTATTTCGGTCGAATGGATTTAAGTATTCTTGAGGTAACACATTATCGACTTAGGTAATTGGTATTAAAAATGGCATATTAAGTACTTTTTTCAAGGTCGTGCGTTTTTAAGGATCGTTCAGTCGATCAGTTGTGTTTTATGTATTTTATTAGAAACCTAATATATAATTATGAAAGCGACCATTTAAATAAACATGTTATGTAATAATTTATTTTTTAGAGTAATATCATTTTGGAATTATTAATTCTCTCGAATGTATGGCGTTTTACAAACTTACAATTTTCAATCACCGAGTATTTGCGGAGGAATATTAATGTACATAATGTTAGTTCTTTGTTTGCTGTGGCACTTTACTACCAACTCAAAGAACTCGAAGTCGATGCGCTCAGCTATATGGTCACCCACGTTAAGGACGTTTTGCAATCTGAAGATTCTGTCTCTTTGACGCCCGTATTTATCTTTTATATCATTAAATCAATATTTCTCGTGTTAAGTAACTAGTTGTGACAGAAATATTTATTTTTAGGAAACATTAGTTCTAATTCTTAATCGTGTCACTGCGCGTGCTAATCAATTAAATATATTCCGTGCGGTTTGTCACTGGATCAAAGAGAACCAAAAAGAACTGGGTCCTGATGATAAAACCAACATTTTATCTGCAATCAGATACCAGCTTATGGATGATGAAGAACTTTCTGAAGTTGAGCGATCAGAGCTGATTTGTTCGGATACAATTACTTTGAATATCGTAAAATCGATAAAAGAGTCCCTCATAAGTGCACTTGATAACTATCGAGGGAAATTAGGTATGCTTTATGTAAAATATGTAAGTTAAGCAAAATATATGGTGTCAACTACTTTATTCTTTAGAACCCAATGTGAATTTTGCTCATGGTACTCCGAAAGAGCCTGCTCAAATTGATGGCGGTACCATGCTCATGTTGGATCATCCATCGAATATAAACTATATTGAAATGCAGTTATCTGACGAAGATTCAAGGTGTGGTTTTACTTATCGATAATTGTAATCAAGGATTTAATATAATTTTATTTAAGTTTTTTCTTTTATCACGAATAATATCATACCTTATTAATAATTTTGAATAGCCAAGAATTTAATGTATACATGAGCAAAGTATAAAATGTTTATCCACTACATTGATTATCCACGAATTATTCAGTTTGGTATGACTTTCAACCATTATTCCAATTATATTCGCACAACAATTATACAATCATTTATTTTTTGACATCTTTATTCATAGAAAAATTACACAACTTTGCATTTAATACTTTAGGTCTTACTCATATCACATTGAAGAATCAACGGATAAGCACGATTGGTTGCGTGTAATTGATCATTCAAATTATAATGGTTGGTCAATTCAACGTAGTCATTATTTTACTAAATTATACATGGATACCAATGAATGACCAATTCAATAATCAATTATTCGATAATCCTTTTCGTTCGTCGATAAAACCACAATTTTTTATTTATATTTAACAACAGTCAACGCTGCCAAGATAACAAAAAAAATTATCTAGACACGATAATGATAGTTTTTTTAAAATTGATCTATCCTAACCTATAATATAATCCTAACCTATAATTAATAACATTACCTAACCCAATGATATGCCAACCGATTAGTTTAATTCTACTAAATTTATCTAAATAAGATAACAGATAAGTAAGTTTTATCTAATATAATTTATCACAACAGTTCCACAAGAATCATTATTATTGATTTCTTAACTATTACAAAATTATACAACGATTTGCTCGATGTGTTTGATACTTTAGATTTTACTGTTATTACATTGAAACTTCAATCGATCAACACATTTGGGGGCGAGTAGTAGATCATTCAAATTATCATTGTCGGTCAATTCAACGTTTGTGGTTTCTCCGAAGATTTGTTCGGTACATTCGAATTGTGGGCACCAAAAATACTAATAATAAGACTTTCACAATTTTGAAAATTATGTACAATACGGACAAAATGCACTTGGTTGAAATAAAAAACGGATTAATAGGTATGGACTACATGAAATTAACTGATTCTTTAAATAATATAAAACAAACTTATTTGTTTAATTAACTGATTTTAATCTATTAGCTCCAAAGTACAATGTAGCTTTAACATCAATGGATGCAATTGTAATTGAAGGAAGAATGAATTTCAAATCCCTCTTGGATGGTGACTATGAAAACTACGATAGGTTTCGCGGTGACACATATCATCTGGAAAATGAGTGTATAACTGTTCAACTCGCCCAACCGTATGTGCTTAGTTCAATGAGGTAATCGTTTACGCAACATTTAACTTAATTACTATGGTTTCTATTATTTAATTATTATATATTTGTGCCTGAACTATAACATTTAAATATTAAAAAAAATTGTTTTGTCTCAACTCTGGCAATAAAATTAGGCTTACATTATTATTTATAGAATGCTGCTTTGGGACTGCGATAGCCGATCATCATATGGTTACACTGTTGAAGTTTCAGTCAATAATAAGGATTGGGACATGATTGTAGATAAATCTAAAGAGTGGGCACGATCGTGGCAGTCGATGCAATTTGAACAAAGGCCGATAATATATATACGTATTACTGGTGTTCGGTGTTCAAATAAAAATGGCATAGTAATCTAATATTAATCTAACTATTAATCTAATAGTGTAATTAAAGTTGTAATTTAAACTGCTTTTGTTTTGTAGTTTTTTAAATGTGTATACTTGGAGGCACCTGCCCAAGTGTCGCTAGATTCCAACGTAACGCCAAGACAGCGGCGGTCGATATCACGGCTCTTCAGCCGTAAGAAATAGCCATCCACCTTTCGCACAAAAGCTAACTTCTATGTGGAGCTAATAGAGTGTTTTTACATTTTATTATTATAGGTTACTGTCATTGTTGTAGTTTTATATATATATAATTCAATTTAATGTATTAACATGACTATAGATTATATATTATTTTCAAACATAAAATCATTGGTTCATGTATGTCTGTAATTAAACTTATTATTCATCCCATCCCAAATACTATGACGTTGTGTATTGGCTGATAAGTTCTGTCAGCAGACATTTAGACCGATTTTCGATTGAATGTTTTATTTGGCTTTAAGGTCTGGGTTAAATGTAATAGATACCATAAGACATATTCATCATCCAACGTCACTCCTTCAAGGAAAAATGTTATCATTTTTTTGAAGAGAAAGTGAATAATTGTTTTAATGTTTCCTATAGAAAGATCGACGACGAAGAAGAAGACACATAAGTATAAATAATCATTAAACATTTAATTCAGTGTCATATTTACAGGGGGTGACCAGTGTGATATATCACTTTCTAGAGTCCTAATTTTTATAAATAGACCCAATCATTTTTTCGATAAGTAGAAAATCTTTATTATATTTATAGAAGTTTTAGACAAAAAAGAAACATAATATTAAGTAAAGTATTAGATGTTTATAATTACTATGATATTTATTATTTGTATTTCTTATATTGTCTTAAGGTCAACTCCAGGTATGTAATATATTTCATAGACGACTACTAAAATTGTATTCTAATAATCCTAAGCGATAAGATCTGAACTGAGTTATGAAAAGTATGGCAATCTACGTTGTTTTTTGCTCACTAAGAGATGGTCCTATAAGTTATTTATTTTACTTTCGCAAACCTACTTACTGTATAATTTAAAATGTCTAAGATAAGCTCTAGAAAATTCTGGTGGGCGCTAATTTGATATTTTTAACAAGTCTAACGGAAGGTCTGTCCTTAATTTTATATTAAACGCTAATTATGTTAAACGAATTTACAAATAATAAACCATACTGCACTCGTGCAATACAATTGTAATTATTTTACTTACAGAACTAAAATCAACGATAAAAAAAATGTTTTCTGTAATCGCTGGACACTAATTCATACTGAGAATAAATAATACAAATTCCTGTTTTAAAATTACTTTTTCCTTTTAGCATTTTCTGATCCTTCCGCGTGTGCATCGCCTTCGTCCAGTCCATCCGGTTCCCAGCAAATCGATCACGCTCACTTTTTGTGCAACGACATTAGCAATCTGTATCTAAACGAAAGGTATGTGTTATATTACGTCATTTTATAATATTAAAATAAGATTCAATTAGATGCAAAAGACTGGAGATTTTTAATTATTAAGAACATTACATTAAAAAAAATATGAACTAGTAAATTAAAAGAATTTTTAAGGGCAAATATACTGTTTATGTTTTCCTTATCGACCGTCGACGTCAAGGAATGGATCACTAGACAATGTTTCTGCTAATACTAGAAGTGTTCCTGGGACATATTTTACTATTCAATTATAAAATTAAGTATTTAACATCCTTCTTTGTGTTATAATAGGTACTGTAAGTAAGGTTTTTTTTTGAAAAGTGAATATAATGGTTTATAATAAGTTTGAAAATTCAAAAAGTTCAAAAGTTCAAATTTTGAAAGTTTGTCTGTGAATTCGTTGACAACCGAAGGAAATGGCATAAAGTTCTTTCTCAATAATTGTTTAGGTTGACTTAAGAGACTGCAAAGCATAAACGCAAGGTTTTCTATTTTGCATTATAACTGCTCTTACTGCATATTGTGATGCAACGACAGATAAATTGATTGATAATAACGGATTACCAAAAAGCGTGGAATATCGATTATTGTCCCAGCTCTGTCAGGTTCAGGTTTATCACATTCGCTATTAAAAATATGACCAAAAAAGTAGAAAGAGGATAATGTGACCTATTGATGGCTTTATTCAGATTTCTTTTGTCCAGACCTATTATTCTACTTAATTACAGTGACAATTGGATTAACTCGTTCCATAGGTGTCTAATAGAAGGAATTACTTTATCATACATACTTTTCGACGTTTATTGTTAATTAATAATAGATTTAATTTTTTTTAAGATTTAAAAAGTTATTTTTTTATGGTATGTTAACCTGGACACCAATGTCCAGCTCAGACTTTATTACTATACCGTTAATAGACAAATCAACTAATGAAAATAGAACATTCTTACCACTATAATTGCACCGATAAAATAACTCTCTAAGGGGGACCCACTTATTTCATAACCATGACAGATCTTGCAGCTTTTCACTTGATATTAGTAAAATTATTGAAGCGTTTACAATTATTACCATAACATTATACCCCTAAAGCAGGATATTTTTTAATTTATATTTTTGTCTAGCGTGTATGATTATTAAAATTATCATTTTTTTATTGAAATATCAGCTAAGCTCATTATTTCTACAATAATAATTAGAAACTCAAAATTATTATATACAAAAGATGACGATATTTACAATGCAGGAGAGATGACTTAACATTAATTATTTACAATATGATGACGGATAATGGGGATGGATGAACAATTAAGTATGAAGTTAATGTCAAAAGGATTCATTATATAGGAAAGAAGAGTGGTGGTGAGAGGGACCCGAAAATGGGAAATGGCAGAACACTAGAGCAGATGAATGAAGTCAACTGCAAATTCATCGTCGTGACGAGGGCAAAATGGGGAATCATTAAGAGAGATGCGATATGGGAGTAGGTTATGACTACATCTCAAACGACTGAAGCAGATCTTTTCTTTCCCTGATAGGTGGAGGTAATAAAACCATGATAGTTTGTTAGGTGAGTAGGTAGTATTATTATTATAGAATTCATTAGAATCTACCGTAGTATCTATATTTTAATTGTTTTTGTACCGTGTGTAGGACGACTCTCTATTTTGACTCTTTTGAGCTAAATGCTGATTGAATATTGTATAAATTATTTCTTGAATTGACTCTTTTCTTGACTGAACAGATAAAACATTTTCAATTGGATTGATTTCCTCTGTACGTTGCCTACAAAACTTCATTAACAAATATATTTCTTATGACTTTTTTACTGCTAATTTATCTTCTCTTAATAAGCTTTATTTAATATGTAGCCACTTATTAAGTAATCTTTAATTAGGCTCTCCTGAAGCTTGTTATATTTACATGACATACTCTTATTTTTCGAATCCGCTATATATTCACTGATGCTTTGTCTGCTGACTGCATGCAAGTAAAATGTTTGTTTCGTTTCAAGGTGATATTTTTTTGAATAAAGTAGGGAGTGAATAGAACTATCATCTCAAACATTTTGACTCGATTCTCATCAAAATAATTGAATATACAAGTTTAATATTTATTTTAGGTTTTCGGATGTTGTTTTAGTTGTAAATAATAAAAAATTCCACGCCCATCGTGTTGTGTTTAGCCTCACGTGTAGCCTCTGCGTGTAGCCTCACGCAGTGCATATTTTAGGTATTTAAATCATATAATTAATCATATTCATATTTCCTTATTTATAATAATACCTTAATAATCATTACGTTATACAATATCATCGAAAATCGTTGTTCAACTTTTTTATTTATTAATTGAATTTGTTTGCTATTTTTTTACGGTATCACCAATTTTCTAATCAACCATTCTAAATGTTTTTGTAAATGTTATACAAAAAAAAAAGTATAATTGTTTGTTTATTGGCTTAATATAAATCGATTTCAATATGAACAATTACTACTTATACATTTTCATGGCAATATTAATTAATTCTTGTAAAACAAGTGATATATTAAGTATTCAAACTGATTGTATGACTTATTATATAGCAGTTCAATATGGTCTAATCTTATCAAACTAAACGAGGGTAAATTTGTAATAAGTTTTAAAATGAAAACTCACTTTTTTTAGCCCATACAACGTTTTACCTTACCGGTTGTGGCATTTTTAGAGCTAATATTGTGTATAAATTTTAGTGCATTACTGTATAACGGTCATATAGAATCTCAAAAAAAGGATGTGCCAATAAATGAAGGATCAGCAACATCAATTAAAGTACTTCTTAAATCTATTTATTCCGGTCGAATGAATTTAAGTGTTCTAGAGGTAATATGTAATATATAAATTTAGAATATAAATATATTTTACAGAAAAGGATTTGTCGAATCCTTTCGTATTATGAATTTTGTTTTATGTATTAGAGTAACGTCATTTTGGAAGGATGTGACAGAAATATTAATTTTTAGGAAGCATTAATTCTAATTCTTACTCGTGACACGGCGTTTGCTAACGAATTGGATATATTCCGTGCGGTTTGTCGCTGGATCAAAAAGAACCAAGACGAACTTGAACCTGATGCTAAAACCAACATTTTATCTGCCATCAGATACCAGCTTATGGATGATAAAGAACTGTCTGAAGTTAACCAATCAGAGCTGGTTTGTTCGGATGCAATTATTTTAGATATCATTAAATCAAGAAGCGAGTTCGTTCCAAATGAACTCGATTATCGAGGACGATTAGGTAAGTCCAATTATTTGTTAAGCAAATTATGTACTATCAACTACTTTATTCTTTAGAACCCAATGTGAATCTCGCTCCGAGAAAGTTCTTCAAAAGTGGCGGTGGTACCATGAGCATGTTGGATCATCCATCGAATATCAACTATATTGAAATGAAGTTAATATGTAACGTAGATTCATGGTGTGTTTTTACTTATCAACTTTTTTAATTGGAGATTTAATATAATTTTATTTGTATAACAATTTAGACTAAAATGTATTTATATCACGTATAATATTATACATTATTGATAATTTTAATATATTGATAAATAAAATATAAATTTTTTACCACATTCAAAAAAATATTGCTTGTATAACAAACAATCAGTTATGACTTTTAATCATTATTGCAATAATTTTTGATCAATAATTTATAAATAATTACTTTTTTGCCATCCGTATTTATTAAAAAATAAAAATACAACCATTAATTTCTCAGGTAAATATCATATTGTTTTGTGGGCAAGTAGTATTGTTATTTTAATTTCGTTTTACGCACTGCAATAGATAGAAGTTAATAAAATCTCAAGTGGTTAAAGTATTAAATATCACTAAAAGAAATTTTTTATTATGTAATACATTAATAAAATGACAATTTAGATACAAGTGCGACGTATAAATATTATTGAAGTAAAATGAAAACAGTAGATGTGATTAAGTTTTTTAAAAGCTAACTACAATTGAGGGTCTATTTTAGTAGAACCATGTCATTGCCTCATTCAGAACGTCCTCATATTCATTATAACGACCCATTGGCCTTACCACAGTAATATAGCCGTCATAAGGTTTGTAATGGAATCTGCCATTTTGTGAAGTTAACATACAAACATTATCATCTTGATCAACACGAGTGATTTTTATATACGAATCTGGGAATCGTATACTTCGGAGCAAACCTATTAAAATACATATTTCGCTAAGGTTGGTGAATTCTGGTGTTTCTTTATCTAAAAAATTATTAAAAAAAATGTTTTTAAAAACTTTTTAATTTTAGCTTATATCTACTTTTATTTTTTGTTCAAAGGACAGTTTATACATGTGTATACGCAAAATCAAAGAAAAAGAATTACAAAACACATAAAAAAAAATCCTATTTTAAGTAACCTATTTTAAAACTAAGTATATTAAAATACATTTAAAAATGAATTACCGCAGTTTGCTTCAAAACTTTTTAAATTTATTTATTGTTATGGATTTAGTTTTTCTCTATTTAATATGTATTTATGAAATTTGTTACAAGTAGAACAATAATCATAATAGTTGTTATATTTACAAAGAGACAAGAGTAGATAGACAGAAAAATAAAGCCTACCAATGGAGGAACTTCGACAAACTTAAATAAAGATATATTTCAAATATTTTATTCTATAAAACTAGCAGATTATAATAATAACATTTTACTTAATTTTATGTGTACTATTCTTGTTCTAATCTTAAATCTTTTATGTATCTTGCAAAATTATTAATAAAAGGGCATTGCAAAAGTTTAAAATGGCAATAAATGAATAAAACAAACAAGGTTATATCATAATGCTACCAAAAGTTCTATGTTAAAATAAGAGTCTAAAAAACTCATTTCTTTATGTTGTGTGAGTTCTATTCCTACTTGTATTGTTACAATACTATTGGTATAATAATAAAATATATTATTGATATGTTTATGTAGAAATCGAGAAAAACATTAATAATAACAGATCCACCTTTGGTAATTACTTAGAATATTTGAATAGACAGTATGCTGGTCTACTAGAAAGCAAACGAAAGTAATACTTTCTTAAACATAGACCGAATATCTAGCGTAGTATCGGCTATTCAAGAATATAAGTGGATAGAGAACTACTTGTTGAGATGAAGTGTATAAGTTATAATTAATATATTATTTGAATGGTACATCGAATAAATTATTTATGATTGAAAGAATGTATAGTAGAAATCTACAAAAGTATTTATATTTACTTATTGCAGCCTTAAGTAACGTAAGTGTAACATATTGCATTGTTTTTCGTCTGCTTTCTCCAAGCAGAGACAATGTGCTACGATCATTCGAATTATCTGTGAAAAAATAAAATTACGTTGTTAACAAATATCATTTAAAAAAAAATTGATTAATTGGATTATAAACTAGGACTTTAGAGCTATTTACTTTATTTATTAAACGGTTGCTTACTTTCGTGGCGGCCAAGCTTAGGCACACGGATATCTGTATACAAATTTTGAAAATGTTTTAATATTTTACACTAAAAAACTCACAAAAAAGTTGGAATTATAATTTAAATGATCATAAAACTTAATAGTTATGATTTTTGAAAATAATTTGCATTAATGTGTGACTTTATATTATTACTTGTAACTTGGAATATTGCTTCTTGCACTGCTTTCTGATCAGCTATGACAATATTTTCTTAATTACAAGCAAAATAACATACATTTTCTTATGACAGGAATTTTAATGTAATAGATTATGTCTATTTAATTTTTTTAATTTAATAACATTAGAATTTTTTAATTAATTTAAAAAAGTAAAATACGACACTTGGAAAATACTATATAATATATTTTATTATGTCAAAAATGGTAATTTATTTTATATTAGGTACAGTAGGGTCGGGGCATAGTGGGGATGGAGCCTAGTTGGATCGGGACATAGTGGGAACGGGGAGGTCACAGGTTTATAGGAATTTTTAAATCTGAAAGTGATAAAATCACTTTCGAAAAAACGCTTCGACGCTAATCGGTAGTTAGTATTTCCAAGCCAGTACAGCCCAAACCAAGCACAGTATAAACCAGCAAAGTTAGAAAGTTTTAAATTAAGGTTCTGTATTTACAAATGAGCATCAAAGCGTTAATTTGAAGGTGATTTTATTCAATTTTATCACTTTTCTTTATAATAATTCCTGTAGACCTGTGATCTCTCCGTTTCCCCATTGCTTGGATTACATTATGCCTATACTCTACTGTACTAGTCCTCACGGATAAAATCACTTTAAAATAAACGCTTTGATGCTCATTTGTAAGTACAGAACCTTAATTTAAAGCTTTCTAACTTTGCTGGTTTATACTGTGCTTGGTTTGGACTGTACTGGCTTGAAAATACTAACTACCGATTGGCATCGAAGCGTTTTTTCGAAAGTGATTTTATCACTTTCAGATTTAAAAATTCCTGTAAACCTGTGACCTCCCCGTCACCACTATGCCCCGACCCAACTATCCTCCGTCCCCACAACGCCCCGACCCCACTGTACTGGTTTTTTTTTAACGTATGTTCTATGTTTAGGAGTAAAGCACCCCAAGAACTTTTCTTTCAATTGAAAACAAATTTACCATATAAATTAATAAACTAATTTCTATTTAATTTTACACGCTGAACCGATTTTGACGGAATTTTCACAGGTAAATGACTTTGCAAGTGATCTAGCAATTTGATAATATTTTTATTTAGTAGTAGTATAACCACACTTACGTTTACGTGCTTCAGTTCTTCCAGTGATTTCCTATGAAAGCATAAAGCTCTTCGGAAGTCTGTAATATTAAAAAAAGTTTTAACTGTACTTATAGTTAGCGGCTGCAATTAAACAAGTTATTATTCAACTAACTGTCAAGCTCACGGCGGCCAACATTACCAGCCGATGTCGATAACATATGAGTTGAATTTGATATCATATTATAATATGCATTTAGAACTTAGAATTTTATGTTAGTCCAATGCAGTCGGCCCTTGAACTTATTTTGATTGTTTTTGTTTATAAAGTCAAGAGGTGAGTGTGATGGACCGACGGTTTAACATTAAATAATCTTTTTAAAGAATTTGGGCGATGATTGGTCACATTATTGTATACTTAACTGCCACAAACAAAATTTAGCTAAAATCTTACGAATAATTACTAGAAAATTTAAATCCGAAAAAATGTAATCAAATACTTAAAATTGACTGTGCTAATTATTAAGTATACTTAAATTTAATTATTATTAAATTGTATTTATAATAATTTTTTTTAGTAGGTACATAAATAAATACAAAATGGAAACGGTTATTTCCATTACCTTGAGTCTAGATATATTAAAGGAGTAATATAATATCCCAAAAATATTAAAGAGTTCATTTTAGAATTAATAGAAAACTTCGAATCTTGTCTAATTGATATTTACCATTTAAACACCTAGCACGTGCTAATGAAATAGCAAAAATTTAACAAAGAATCATAATAAAATAAATCTTAAGAATAACCCTAACAAAATCAAACTTGAACAACAAAATTACTGACAAAAACTACTAACAGATAATCCACAAAAATATTTTAATTTGTTTTATTTATGGTCATGCAAATTTTACTTCTTCACAGTTAAAATTTGCCATATGGCTGGGGGTCAACTTGTAGTGAATAAAAGGGAGGTTCTATCTTTCATACAACCCTTCCCCTCGAATATAATTATAATAATTGATTACTCGTCAAGATGGATTATATCATCTTCTTCTTTTTTACAATCTGACAATTCAACGACGTCCGAAGCCGGTTTGTTTTGGCATTCCGGCGTACGATCACTATTTGTAAAATTATAAACATCTTAATAGGATTAAAAGACGATTCATGTGAAGTTGCACAGAGATTTTTATTCGAATCCGGTCTGGTTTTTATTCCAAGGTAATTGTTTTTTTTATTTACTTGATTTACGATTTAACACCAACTTCCTGTCCCACACGAGCTAAGACAATTTTTGCAATCACCATCTTCCCTCTATCTTGTTTAGTGATAGCCAATAAAAACACAACAACTTACACTTGTCTGCATTTTCCTTTAAAAAAAATCAATCTATTTCCTTTAGTATTTTGTTAGCGTGAGCAAATTGTTTAATTTTGTAAACCGCTGTTTAATTTTATGGGTTCGATTACCAGGGTTGTAATTGATATGCCCGCACACATTAGTTGTATCAAATTTAAATTATACCTATTTCCTATCTCCCTAAGGGGGGGGGGTGCAAGTTTTATTGTTTTTGGGGTTTTTACCCGTAGTTTTAAGACATTTAAGTTGAAAATTTGTCAGTAGTTAGAAATCATATATATCCATAACAGATTAAACGAGGAAAAAATTCGGCCGAACAGTTTTTCTTTAATTACCGGAAATTTTTTCGCAGAATTCGTATATTTTAACAAAAACACCTAAGATCTTAAAAAATTGTATCAAACCATAACAACATTTTTTTGTAGATCTATTCAGAATGATACTATTAAGTTTTGATACTCAAGATACTCATTTTTAGGTTTGAATTAATTTTTTTTTCTTTATTCGTCCTGTATTCGTATTTTTGCCAAAAGTTTGCTATTGTACAATAAAAATCATTCCCGCGACACACAAAATACGTAAGCGCACCAATTATGTACACAATTGTTTGTTTAAAAACTTTGTTAAGTATACAAAAAAAAAATATACTGGGGCATTTTCAATAAAACAATATATATCTATATCGGTTGGCTTACAATATCTGTGAACGGCGAATGGTTTTTTTCTAAGTGTTTTGTATAGAATTCATAAACCATAATAACACGTATAACACAATGACGTTTGTTTATTTTATTGCGCTTATCGTTTTAAGGTCAGCTCCAGGTATGTAGTATATTTCATATACGTCTACATAAATAATTTTCTTCTTATAATCGTAGTATTTAATCTTAAGTGGCAAGTTCTGATCACAATAATTATGATAATTATCGTAATTAGATATTGCTTAACAAGTTTATAATAAAGTTTTCAAACTCTGTTCTTAATTTTATATCGAGTGCTAAAATTATAAGATTATTTTACAATTATAAAACTATAGTACAATTGCACAGTAAAACTATCATTTCTATTTTATTTAAACAATTTAAAAAATACTTAATCAAATTGATGAATGCTAAGTCATGTCGTAAATAAACTATTCATATTCGTTTGCAAAATGTGTTTTATTTTTTAGCATTTTCTAATCCTACCGGTTATGCATCGTCTTCGTCTAATCCACCAGGTTCTGAGCAAATCGATCACGTTCCCTGTTTGGTCAATGACATTACCAATTTGTATGAAAATGAAAAGTATGTGTTATATTACGACATTTTATAATATATTTATAATAATATAGAAGATTCATAAGGTAAAAAAGGCTGTTGGTATTTATTTATTTAGATCATTACATTTTATTTAGTATTTACAATCTACGTATGTGTGCCGAGAGTTATAACAATATATGATACTGTATGATAAAACTGTAACAGTGTTGCCTACTATAGCATGCCCTCTATAAAAAAAAATAATAATATCTAGTGCATTAAAATTATTCTCATAAACAAAACATTCTAGACAAAATATAATGTTATCACATATAAAAACTAATAAGGTAATAAAATAAAACATATTAATGAAAAACAAGATAGATATAAAAGATACAAATATTCAAATCATAAAAATTATCAACAATTAACATAAATATCTCTTAAGTTTTACTATTCTCTTACCATGTCTAATTACTACCTCATGCTGTTTAAGAACAGCTATAGAGAATTTGAATAATTAGTTTGCTTACTGCAACTATCATCTAATGGTATCATTATTTTCAGAAGAGTTACAAGGACAAGTCAATTAATCCATTCTATAGGAATCGTTACCTTTTTTATTACTTTAGATTTACACATATTGTTTAGTTATTCAATTAGTTGATTATAAAAAGAAAAAGTTATTTATCCTGGAGCGTCTGTTATGGGTTTGATATAGTGATCAATGTGTATATGACATTTTATTAGAACGCTGTCTAGGTCTAAGTTTTGTTTAATATGCAGCCACTTATTACGATGACCAATTATTAAGGCAACTTTAATTAGACTCTCCTGAAGCTTGCAAAATTCACATGACATGCACTTATTTTTCAAATCCGCTATACATTTAGTTGCTGACTGCAAGCGAGTATAAAGTTAGTGACACTCCACGGTAACATTTTTTTTGGAATAAAGCAAATAGTGAATAGAAACTATCACCTCTTTCAACTTAACTTTAGTAATACCCATATCAAATTAATTGGATATTTTTAGTGACGGTTTACCAATAAAATTAAGGAATTTTAAGGAAGGATTTCTATATTCACTAGACACAAATAATGACATTTAACATCAACATCATTGATTATACTTAAACAGCTATCGCTGAAACACTACCTTCAATAAGGATAACAAATACATATACTTTATCAAAATGATATATTAAATATACAAAAAAACAAAACCGGTTTTAATATAAATTTTTTTTTTTAATTGTTCTGTATTATATTTAAAGATAGAATATCATACATAAATCATTATTCATGTTTAGTATTCATAAGTATATAAATTATGTATTTTAATATTTATTTTAGGTATTCTGATGTTGTTTTAGTTGTAGATAAAAAACGATTTCACGCCCATCGTAGTGTGTTAGCATCACGCAGTGATTATTTCAGGTAATAAAATCTTATCAATTAGTATAGTATTCTCTTAGTAAACATATAAAATCTACTTGAACCCTAAACCATAAAAATTATACCATTCTTGCGTACACGTGTTACGACAACGATGTGAAGATGATAACATTGTTGTCGTAACACGTGTACGCAAGAAGGGTATAATTTTTATGGTTTAGGGTTCAAGTAGATTTTATATGTTTACTATATATTTAACCATAAGTTTGCTTAACAGTTTTTTCTAGTATTCTCTTAGTAATAATACCCTACTAAGCACAACACATACAAATTTGTCAATTTGATTTTTTTAAATAGCGAATATAATGCATTTTTGTACTAATATTGTGTATATTTTTTAGCGCATTGCTGTTTGGAGATCATAAAGATTCCCGTCTAAAGGAGGTGCCAATAAAAGAAGGATCAGCAACCTCAGTCAATGTTCTCCTTAAATATATTTATTCTGGTAGAGTGGATTTAAGTACTCTAGAGGTAAATTATAGTCGACTTAGATGACCGATATTTAAAGACAGAAAAAGTACCATTTTCAAGGTTGTGCGTTTTTTTAAGGATCGTTCGGTCAATCGGTTGTAATTTTTTTTTTTAAAAAGAAACTTTTTTTTTTTTTTTATTAAAGAGTATTTACAATCTATGCTGCAAGGCATAATAAGCAAATAGTTACATTGTTATATATACAGAGAGAGGGAAAAAAAAAACAAATAGAAACTGTGATTTGATATGAGGAGGGAGGCTATCCAGTGATAGAACCCAACGTGATTTTTGTTCTAATTATTTTTAATTAGATTAATTTGAATTATTGTATTAACAGATCTCGACACCAATGTCTTCGGAGTCGGCGAGGTGGATTTCCGGGGAGTGAATTAGAAGCAAGTTGAGATATTAAAGGATTAGAACGAGTGTGTAATTTGGAATGAAATTTTTTGTAGTGTTTTATGGCTAAATGGTTTATTGGTTCTATTTTAAAGTCATTTTGAAGTGTGCAGTTTGATACATACCATGGGGCAGAAGAGATAATACGTAGAGTGATAGATTGGAAAGCTTGTAAGGTACGAAGTTGGGATGGTTTTGCACATCCCCAAATTTGGGTTGCATATGCCCAAATAGGCCTTAATAGGGATTTGTATAAAATAATTTTAGTGTGGAAAGGTAATTTTGATTTGAGGATTGGACGTAGTAAATGGAGTCTGCTGTTGAGAATTTTTCTTTTAGATTTAATGTGGGAGCCCCAAGTTAAACCTTTGTCGAGTGTGACCCAAGATATTTGACTTCCGAGGATATTGGAATAAGTATTCCTTGGAATTGGGGAGGCGGTGGAACAGACTTTTTTAGTGTGAAGGGAACGTACACAGATTTATCTGGATTAATTTTAATTCTCCAATTAGATGACCAGAAATCAATTAGATTTAAGTGAGTTTGGAGGAATTTGGAAGTAACTTCTGGATCATTTACTAGGGAGAGTATTGCAGTGTCATCTGTATAAGTAGCCATAATAGTATTTGGTGTTTTTGGAATGTCAGCCGTAAAAACATTAAATTGATCAGGGGAGAGGTCACTGCCCTGGGGCACTCCTGCTTTAATTTGGTGGTATGGTGAAAAGGAATTACCATATCTGACTCTATAACTTCTATTTTCTAAATAAGAACGAATTATTAAGTAATATGGGGCAGGTAGGAACAATTTGAGTTTGAAGAGTAGGCCTTCATGCCATACACGGTCAAAGGCCTGGGCCACATCCAAAAATACCCCTGGACAATATTGTTTTTTTTCAAAAGAAGAACAAATTTGATCTGTTAGTCTGTGAATTTGGTGAACAGTCGAGTGATTGGATCTAAAGCCAAATTGGGAATTAGGAATTATGTTGTGGGCATGTAATATTGGTTTTATCCTTATAAGTATAATTTTCTCAAACAATTTGGCGAGAGTTGGGAGTAAGCTGATAGGTCTATAGGAAGTAATCTCATTTTTTGATTTGTCGGGTTTGGGGATAACAATTATTGTGGATATTTGTCGTATTAATGGAAAATAAGAAATTCGCAGCATGGAATTAAAAATATAAGTTATTAAAACAATTGTTTTTTTTTGGCAAATTTTTGAGGATTTTGTTAGTTATGAGGTCATGTCCTGGTGATTTCCCTTCTTTTAATTTATTTATTAAAAATTTGATTTCACTTGGTGAGGTATGTTTTGCAGGTAATGACATTGGAAGAGGACTATTGACAAAAATATTAACCTTTTCTAAGTGTTCGTGGTTGGGAAATACGTCAGTATGTGGTTTGAAAATGTTGGAAAAATGCTCTCCGAAAAGGTTGGCTTTTTCTTTGTCAGAGATGGCCAAGGATCCATTTGGGCCAGTTATAGGTGGAAGTTGTTGTTTTATGTTAAGTAAGCTTTTGGTAGTTTTCCAGAGTGAGCCATCTTTTGAGTTTAAGGACTGGTATTTTCTTTCGAAGTACTCAGTTTTGTGTTTTATTATTAATTTTTTAATAGTGTTCGTTAAGTGATTAAATATTTGTTTGTCGGAAGGATATCGATATTTCTGCCATCTGGAGATTTATCGGAAATCAACGTTTTAATATATAAAGGCAAAGTATGATTATTTGATTGATGTTTACTGGTTGGATATGACGCATTGTCGACGGCAGATTGTACAAAAGTTACGAGGTCTTGGGCAGCGTTTTCTATATCAATTTTTGATTTAAGGGAGATATTTAGATTAGTAGTGTTTTGCATAATTTCAGAGAATTCTTTCCAATTTACTGGGCCTTGCGATAAAGAAGGATGTATAAGATTAAGTTCTGGACTTTCATTTAATTTTAGAAGGACAGGAGTGTGGTCTGAGCTAAGGTCATTTAGGTTATTAATAGAGAATTTCATAGTTCTAGGTAGTGTTGAAAGAAAGAAATCTAATATATCAGGGTGTTTATTTTCGTGTTGGGGCCAGTAGGTAGGACCATTTGGCGATATGGATGTGTAATTGTTGTTGTTAATGATTTTTTGGAGTATTTTTCCTCTTGAGTTGTCGGATATGCAACCCCATTGGGAGTGTTTGACATTAAAATCGCCCCCAGCCAAGAAGTTTGGTCCTAGGGATTTTAAAAAATCTTTTAGTTGTGTCGTAGTAATAGTAGGGTGAGGGGGAAGGTAAACTGAAGATATTTTGATCGGTGTGTGATTTAATGTTATTTGGATATTAGTTGCCTGTATAGTAGGGGTTTGATTAATAGGGAGTAACTGATGCTGGATTTTAGAGGAAATAATAATAGCAGATCCTGCATGAGCAGTATTGTCGGGGTGATCAGTTCTATAAACCTTAAAACCAGGGAAAAATAGTTTAGTGTTTGGTTTACAGTGGGTTTCAGAAATAAGTGCCAGATCGATTTGTTTTTCTGATAGTAAGTTTAACAGTTCAGAATCATGTTGTTTTAAACCGTTAGCATTCCAAAGCAATATCTTTAGTACGTTTATATTTGGTTGATTACTGACCATCTTTCATAAGTTTATTTATAACTGTTGTGAGTAGTGATATGAGAGGGTTAATTATTAATTTAAACTCAGAAATGATGGAGGAAAGTTGAGTAGCTATATTAAACTCAGGTGGATTAATAGTTGCGTTTGGGGGTGTATTATTTGGAGCGTTGGAATGGAGATGTTGGAGTGGAAGGGTGGAGATTACGAATGACTATTCGGAAGGGTTTGTCTTCTTGAGCTTGGTAGGTATGAAACTCAGCCTTATTTTCTTTTAGATATTTGATGACTGATCTATATGAGTCGGAGTTGGTAGTTTGGACTTTTAAGTTCTTGGTAGTTGCTTTAACAACAAAGTTATTGGCGCCGATTAGATCGATTAAACATGTTCGAAGTATGTGAAAATCTAATACTCCACGGATGAAAATAGGTGGAGGAGGTTTGATTTTTGTTTGTTCAATTTCCTCATTTAGGTCGTTGCCCGTCTGATCTATTTCGATATTTTCGTCTTCAACATTATCGATGTCAAGTGGAGCAAACCTATTAGAGGAAGCAAAAACAGTTATGTGTTTTTTATTTTTCCCTGCTAATGATTCAGTTGATATCGGTTTAGATTTGTATTTAACCGTTTGAAATTCAGAGTCGTTTTTTGTTGATTTATTTTGATTTTTATTATTATTGGGTGATAGGCCCGGAGAGCCGAGTCGCTTAGTGCGATTAGGAGTAATAAGTCCATCAGTATGATCGGATAGATCTGAAGAAAGCGAAAGTCGATTTGGCACGCTCTGTATACGTGACGCTTTTATTGTTAACGGAGGTACTGTTTTGTTATTTTTGTTCATGGCGACAGGTAAATTTATCGCGCGATAGCAATAACTGGTTTAAGCGGACCGTCCGAGCGCGGCCGCGATGGCAGTATTAGCAATTAATAATATATTAATTAAATAAATTACCAAAAAGACAATGATGAGGCTCAGAGGTGATGTAGAAATGAGATGTTCAACTCGTTGGAAAGCAGGCACTTTTTCAAAAAGATTACTTTTTAATACGACAAAAACGGTGAAAAATGTAACGAGATGTTTGATTATAACTAGATGAAATAACGGAGCACGATGTTGCATGGTCAACGATCAGGTTCGGGATGAAAAGAAACTCTTAACCACAAAAAAATAATACACTTTAGCGTGTATGCGTATTTCGGCAGAAATGTTACCATCATCAGCGCTAATAACAGACTGGGTTGTAATTTATGTGTTAAATTGGAAAAAAAAAATATTATTCAGAAAACGATTATCAAATACACATATTTTTTTTATTTTTTAGAGTAAAGTTATTGTGGAATTATTAATTCTCTCGAATGTATATCGTTTTTCAAACTTACAATTTTCACTGTCTGAGTATTTACTGAGTAAAATCGATGAACACAATGCAAGTTCGTTGTTTGTTGTGGGACTTTGCTATCAAATCAAAGAACTCGAAATCGAATCACTTAATTTTATCGACATTCATTCTTTGGATGTATTGCAATCTGAAGATTCCTTTTCTTTGACGCCCGTAACGATATTTCCATATTAAATATCATTATTGCTCGTGTTAGGTAACCAGTTGTGACAGAATTTTTTTTTTTTTAGGAAGCATTACTTCTAATTCTTAATCGTGACATGGTGTATGCTAATGATTTGGATATATTCCGTGCGGTTTGTCACTGGATAAAAAAAAAAAAAGACGAAATTGATGCTGAAGCTAAAACCAAAATTTTATCAGCAGTCAGATATCAGCTTATGGATGATGAAGAACTGTCGGAAGTTAGGCGATCAGAGCTGGTTAGTTTGGATTCGAGTATTTTGGATGTCATAAAATTGAGTATAGAGTCCCTCCCACAAGAATTTAAAGATCAAGGACGACTAGGTAAGCCTATTCCTTTATTTAGCAAAATATGTTAGTACCAACTACTATATTCTTTAGAACCTAATGTGAATTTCGCTGGAGATACACCCAAAGAGCATTTTCAAATTGATGGCGGTACCATGATCATGTTGGATCATCCATCGAAAATAAACTATATTGAAATGGAGTTAAGCGACAAACAAGCAAAGTATGGTTCACTTATCAATATTTCTAATCAAAGATTTAATGTAATTTTATTTTAATAAAAATGAGAACTAATATATATTTTTATCACAAATAATATCATACAATAATCATAATTTTGTTTATTCGCGAATTGAATTTATTCTCAAATAAAATATAGTTTTTTTATCCATAATCAAAAATATGTTGTTTAAGCACCGAACTATTTAAAAATAATTTCCTTTTTATAACTTTGCTTATAAAAAAATACACGACCGTTCATTTGATCGAATTATTTGATTATTTAGATCTTACACTTATTACATTCAAGTATCGATGGATAGCCAAAATTGGTTGCGTGTAATAGATCATTCAAATTATCATTGTCGGTCAATTCAACGTTTATGGATTAACCGAAGATTTGTTAGGTACATCCGTATTGTTGGCACCAATAATACTAGTAATAAGAGTTTTAACTTTTTGAAAGTCATGTACAATACGGAAAAATTGCACTTGGTAGAAATCAAAAACGGATTAGTGGGTAAGGATAATACGTACTCATTCACTGATTAATATAAAACAAAAACATATTTGTCTAATGAACTGATTGAAATCCTATTAGCACCAAAGTACGATGTTACTTTACCATCTATGGATAGGTCCATAGTCATAAATCAACCAGAATGTTTACAAATTCAACTCGCCCAACCGTATATGCTTAGATCAATGAGGTAATCGCTTAAATAACATTTAACATGTACTTTGGTTTCTATTATTTATTTGTTATATTGTTTGCGCCTGGAATACAACTTTTTATTGTTTAAAAAATAATTTATGGTCGACTCTGGCAATAAGATCAGGAGTATTATAATTATTTATAGGATACTGCTTAATCGTGGCGAAAGCCGAGCCTGTGGTTACACTATTCATGTTTCGGTCAATGATGAAGATTGGGATATTATTGTAGATAAATCTAAGGAGTCGACCCTATCATGGCAGTTGTTAAAATTTGATCCAAGACCGATAGTGTATATACGTGTTACTGCCGTTCGCACTTCAGAAAATGACAAAGTAATAAAAATAATCTAATAGTGTTGTTTAAACTGTTTAAAAAATTGTTTTTTTTAGCTGTTTAAACGTATAATTTTGGTGGCACCTGCTGAAGTATATTTTAACGCTATCCCAAAACAGTAGTGGTCGATACCGCAGCTTTTACGTCCTTAATAGCGCCATCACTCGCACGAAGCCTACTTCTATACGGATCTAATGGAATTTTTTTACATATTATTATATGTGACTATAATTTTTTTCTGCTTAATAAATATATATAACATTCAAATTACTGGTCACATAAAACTAATGTCTATATATTATTTTATAAACATAACAGTATTGGTTCACGAATGTCTGTAATTAAACAAATTTTTTTTCTCAACTCAAATAAGATGTTGGATCGTATGTATTACCTTCTTCTAGTAGTGAAGATATTTAAAACAAGTATGCTTATACATCGTTCTCCGTTTCGTTGATTTTCTAAAAATTAAAATTTTAATTTATTGGTTAATGTGTTTTTTACTTGAATGTGTCCTATAATCGTATTTTCGCGATTTTTAAATTTGCTATTATACAATGAAATTCATTCCTGCGTCACACAAAATACGTACAACAGACATATATATATCGGTTGGTTTACAATATCTGTGGACGGCGCTTTGTTTTTTTCTCAGTGTTTTGTATAGAATTCATAAACCATATTAACACGTATAACACAATGATGTTTGTTTATTTTATGGCGCTCATCGTTTTAAAGTCAGCTCCAGGTAAGTAATATATTTCATATAGGTCTACATAAATAATCGTCTTCTTATAATCGAAGCATATAATCTTAAGTCGTTAGTTCTGAACACAAACCGTCTTACTGACAAGTTATAATGTCTAAGATAAGCTCAAAAAAGATCGTGTGTAGTCTAATTAGATAATTTTTAACAAGTTTTTCAGAAGGTTTTCAAAATCTGTTCTTAATTTTATATCGAGTGCTAAAATTATTAGATTATTTTACAATTATAAAACTATAATACAATTGCACAAAAAAACTATCATTTCTATTTTATTTAAACAATTTAAAAAATACTTAATCAAATTGATGAATGCTAAGTTATGCCGTAAATAAACTATTCATATTCGTTTGCAAAATGTGTTTTATTTTTTAGCATTTTCTAGTCCTACCGGTTATGCATCGTCCCCCTCTAATCCACCAGGTTCTGAGCAAATCGATCACGTTCCCTCTTTGGTCAATGACATTACCAATTTGTATGAAAATGAAAAGTATGTGTTATATTACGACATTTTATAATATATATATATATATAAGATTCAATAGGTGAAAAAGACTGGTGGTTTTTATTTATTCAGAACATTACATTTTATTTAATGGTTACAACTTTACGTGTGTGTGCCGAGAGTTGTATATATATATGATATTGTATGATAACACTGTAACAGTGTTGCCTACTTTAACATGCCCTCTAAAAAAATTATAAAGAATACAATCTAGTAAATTAAAATAATTCTCATAAACAAAACATTCTAGACATAAACTATAATATTATCACATATAAAAACAAATAAGGTAATAAAATAAAACATATAAATGAAAAATAAGATACATATAAACGATACAAGTATTTATAAATCATACAAATTATCAACAATTAACATAAATATATCTTAAGTTTTACTATTTTCTTACCGTGTCTAATTACTACCTTTTGCTGTTTAATAACTATAGGAGAATTTGAATAATTAGTTTGCTAGCTGCAACTATCATCTAATGGCATCATTATTTTCAGTAGAGTTACAAGGACAAGTGAATTAACTCATTCTATAGGAATCGTTACCTTTTTTATTACTTTAGATTTACACATATGGTTTAGTTCTTCAATTAGTTTATTATATAAAGAAAAAGTTTTTTATATTGGAGCGAATATAATATATAAATCATTATTCATGTTTAGTATTCATAAGTGTATTAATCATATACTTCAATATTTTTTATAGGTATTCTGATGTTGTTTTAGTTGTAGATAAAAGACGATTTCACGCCCATCGTAGTGTGTTAGCATCACGCAGTGATTATTTCAGGTAATAAAATCTGATCAATTAGTATAGTATTCTCTTAGTAAACATATAAAATCTACTTGAACCCTAAACCATAAAAATTATACCCTTCTTGCGTACACGTGTTACAAGCTTGGACGGATCAATTTTAATCGTCTGTCGAAACAAAAGGATGTACACGTAGTTCAGACCACAGTTTTGGCGTTGAACCATCGGTATAATCATTATTCCACTGTCACTAGTGCTGATCACAAACTAGAGTTAGCAAAAAAACGGTTTTTTTTATTTAAGACCAGGAAATGTTTGGTGTTAACTCGAAAATATGCAACCGCGGGTCTTTTACATGCGTCCAAATAAAAATGAAAATAGAAGACATGGAGCAGATGGGCGAACAGGGTAAACAATATCAGCTAAGAAGACTAAAAAATCAAAATCACAAAATATTTTTTCAAAAAATTCTATCCTGTACAATCAGTATATTTAAAGCTCCAACAATATCATTGGATTCACACTGGATTTACCTCCTTTAACACTTCATTTAATAAAGATGAACGAAGTAGGAGTTGGGTTAGATAATAATTGTACAACTCTTATGTTTTATAAGCCCAAATTAATTATAATTGCTCGAGAAACAAAAAAACGAAGCCAGTTCTAAGCAATAAAAAGGGTTAGAACAGTCTTTATTTGTAGCGAACGACGACAGCCATATAATAGTTATAATAATATACGAACGATCCAAACTCACATATATTATTATGTGGCTTTTCGGACAAGACTTTTTTTGGCGGGTTCTTAATCCGTCTCTTGACATCTCGTTAATTGTTTACAGCTTTTTTCCGTGTCCAATAAAGTATATTATTTTGTTTGATGTTTTTTTATTGGGTTACTGGTATAATGAGATATATATATCATGGACAGAGTTGTTTTCAACACAAGTCGGTGTCCTGTGCCAGGTTTTTATGTTCAAAAATAATGTACACCAGCGTTCTATATATTAATTTGTACCGTCCTCCGACAAGATTAATCGATGCACCAAACAACAACACACTGCAGTATGGAAAAATACACTCTTTGAACGGAATTCTTTGCAACACACGAAGTAAAAAAATGTAATTATTTTTATAATCGCGCATTACGCTCTATTTTTAAACCTCAGGTAACGGCCTGCCGCCAAAAACAATAGTTACATAATAACACAACTATATAGCGATAAATACAAAAGATCAGATCTGAGATTCACACAGCAGACTTCATAGGATGAACTGACTTTATGAGGGAAAAAAATATTAATGATTCTAAAGAGAATTAATTGTAAAAATACAAATGATTCTTAGGCGGGGTAGTGTTTCACGTTCTGTCATCTCGGTCGGCCACCCTAGTCCTACACCTTCGTTTCCTCTCTTTGCTTCTACATTCATATCTTCATCACAACTCTCACTGAACTACTATCTCAACCCTATCTCTCGTTTTCCCCACAATTGATGTAACACTTAGACTCCCCTTTAAGTATATTTTATCTTATGTTGGAATATGAAAATAACAAATAGGACACAACACTTTGTGGAAATCATTTTCGTAATATTATTTTCCAATATGATACAGTACAATATGATAATAAAGTTTTTTAAAAATCTATAATAGATCCGAACAGTTATAAGCTAGCAATCGTAATAAACGGGAACTCTGTACGGTTTTTTGCTTTGTTGGGTACAGATTTGAATAACATACTATTTTGAAAATATTTTACTTAATACATCAACCACAAGTGTTTTTTGTTCCGATACATAGCTAAAAGGGTATTACGTTATTATGTTTACCATTATAGTTTTTTTATGTGTTTTTGGACACAGCTGTTCTAACCTTTTTACCGACAACACATCCCCAAAAGTTCCTATAATTCCTCTATTTTACTTTAAAAACGATTGAAATTGCTTAAAAATATATAGTACCTTTAACGGGCGTCAACAACTGGGTATTTTTGGTTAAAATTAACTCATTCTATTCAAACGTAATGAAGCTAAGTATACTTCTATTTGAGTTTTCTAGGAATTCTAATGTTATTCAAGACTTAAACTAGAGTATTTTTACGTAAGTTCTGATCGAAGTAGAAACATGTTTTTTCAAAAAAATAGATCCTATATGCGTTATAAATGATGAAAAAAAAAATTAATTATTTTAATAAATCCTTAATTTGAAAGTGAATTGATCACTTTATAGTTGTAATAGTTCCTGTAATCAGGTGACAACCCCTTTAACACTATGCCCTGACCCTACTATTCCCCGGGGGGAGGTGGCAAATATGAAGAGTCTTTTTTTTTGTTAGACTTAAAAAATGTACAATAAGAAAAAGTTCATAAAAAACTCCATGCTTATCAGTCAATGCCTGTACCTATTAATGTGTGTATAAAGTATAACTTATCGGACGGTTAAGAGCATAATATATAAAGTAAAACATTTTTAACAAGTTTTGAATTAATAAAGAAAATGTAATTCAAATAACTTGAAACTTATATTGTAACAACTTTTTAGATAACTATACAAAAGTACAGAACTCAGAAGTTTTTCACAACTTTGTAAGACTCTTTAAAAAACGTGCCAGAGCCATATGTGTTTAATATCAATATTATAAAAGTATTATACAGTATTCCGACTAAAAGCGACATAAAAATGAATAATATAAAAATAATATATTTTACTCATTTACACATGTTGGGCTGAAGCTACAAAATAAAAAAGATAAATAAATGGATGCATAGACTTTTAGTGTGTACCATTTGTCGAACAAATAAATACAAACGATTGTGTTTTAAACTAAATACTTTATTAACATTGCATAATACATTAATTGGATGAAAACAATTTTCATCAAACATAATTAATCGTAAGACTTATGTTTTTTTAACAATTGTTATTGTTATAAAAACTTAACTTTAATGCTGAAATTAATTTCCAAAAAATACGGTATTCTCTATGTTTTTGAATATAATAATTAGTCAACTAAAAATACCTGCAATTAATTTTAAAATGTTAATTGTAAAACTTTTTAATAATTATTTCTAACATAATTTTAACAAAATGCCTTGATTGTATTAAAGCATGGGAT